TTTTTACAACAATGGCACAAAAACACTTTATTATTTAGATTTTTATATTTTGCTTTATTTGAATTGTATATATGTTTTAATTTGTAGGTATAAGAAAATTAAAACAATTATGTTAAAAGAGCTGCATGTTGCTAATCAAAATATAGAACTTTTGTGCACCACTACCATAAAAGGTGAAGGCAGTAAGAATTATCTGATTATATATGAATCTTCTGTATCCTTATGTAGTCTCTTGTTAAAACAACCTGGGGATCTGGATTAATAATGGTAAAAAGTATTGGTGCTCTGCTAGGAATTTATTTAACATTTCTGCCATGTATTATTTTGAGAAAACTGAGTCTTCCTGCCAGTAACATAGGATTAATATTTGCTTGACTAGACAGAGTGGCAACAACAGCAGCAAACAGAAGAGCAGAAAATACAGCTAGAAGTTGATTTTCTGAAGGCTGAAGTGCAGCACCAGGAGCAGGAAGCCAAGACACAGCAAGAAAAGAAAGATCAAGAATGTCAAACAGAACGAAATGTTTTCGATTCTCTTGTGCATCAGAAACAGGAAGCAGAATACAAGGTAAAGTAGATAATGTGGTAGTAGAGACAATTTTCCATGGTAATGGTGATTTTCTAATGCAGTGGCCAGATATGGCAAGGGTTTTTGTAAGTCTGGCTCTTGAGTTGACAGCATGGGTATCCAGTGATGCCAGTGTATCTGCAGACACATTTTTTGACACCCACCAGGAGTTGGGCAGCATACAGGTTTAATATATTATTAGTATTAATATTAGACTTTTCACTTTAAAAATGTTTAAAATAAAAAACTAATCTAAAAAAATCAGGAAGCTGGCATGTTACAAGCGAAGTGCCAGCCTCTAACACCCTGTCCTTTTCAGAAATGTCTTTAGGCCCCAGATAAACCTGTAAGCTTGGATAGGTGGTTGCAGCCCAGTGTGTATAACTATATCCCCTTGTCCAGAAAAAGGGTAAAAGGAAACAGGAATGACAAATAGTATCCTGTACTATATGTACACTGTACATAAAACACCACTGCTTTAGATAGACCTGGCTGTATTTCTCTTGATAGCAGCAGTTCTGTGAATGGGTACTCCCAACCAGTACAATAATTTTTGCAAGAACCCCCACAGCATGTTCAGAATTCCAAATAGGCCCACCGAGCCATAAAGACTAGCTAATTTTTGTTTTGTAAACAGATTAATTTAAAAACAAAACTCAGAAGTAATTATAAATATAATGGGCCAGCGATACTTCCAAAATGGAATATTCTGCCAAAGCATTCCAGATGGGCTGGAGCGTGACAAATCTGAAGCCTGCAGTATTTTGGGTTTTCCAGGTTCCAGCCAAAAACAAACAATGAAGGATCTTTCGGGGCAAGTAGGACAAGGCTGATGGGCCTTGCCTTTCTCTCCCCTATTCTTCCACTCAGCCCTTGTGGCATCCATCTGCCAGCTTAGGATCCCAGCACCTTATTTTCTCCACCTCCCTTATGACACACTTGAAGCTAATGAGGTAGTAGCCAAGACAGAAGGGAAAAGCCTAGAAAAACTGGGGATGGGCAGGCCGGTTGGGTGTTGCATTTGAAGTGAAGGACATTGGTGGCAGCTGCTTTCCAGCTGGCCCATTCCATTTTCCCAGCATCTTCCTTTTTCCACCTGCCCTCAGCTGACCGTACATGCTGATGTCCTTGGCTTTAGGTGTGGCTTCCCCAGCCAGCCCATCTGCCTCCCTGATCTTCCATTGCCTTCATCTTCCTAATGTAGCTGCCACTGCTGCTGCTATCCTCGAAGATACTTTAAGAGCTAATATTAAAGTTAGCATCCACCTTATATTTTTCGGACATGAAGCTATTTCTGACATTTGTGCACATTCCCAAAACTATCTGCCAATCCTCTAATGAAGGAATTGACTGCAATTTCCAGGGGGAGGTCTAGAATATCTTATCAGAGATTGTTGCATATAAAGTCAGCTCAGGATACTTTGTAGAAACATAAGGCTTGGCGATGCTTAAACAGAAAAATAACTGGCAGGAAAGTCAGTATTTAAAATTTGTTTCATCCCATGGTGAATTATCTTCCAGAATTGCTGAACTTTGTGATATTGTTACCGGATATGGAAGAATAACCTAATTAATACTTTTCCAGCAGTTTTTTAGATCTGTCTTTTTAAAACCATTTTTTGGAATGTGTTATGAATAGAAGTTGATAAAGGAAGATGGAAAATTGCAACATAAAATAAGATGGGGGGAAGTAACACTCAAGTAAGCTTTATTTCCTGCTCAATGGAAGATTCCCCCAGCCCCCAAACAAGAATATTATATGCTGTGGCAGTTTGTTTATTCATTTATTCATTGATTCATCCATCATATTTATGTAGCTTCCCATCTCACAGAACATGACTCTGGACAGCATACAATAAAAAAATAATAATATAAAAAAGTTAAGTTAAAAATATTAAAATTATGATTAAAGGGCAAGAAGAGGGCCACAGATATTAATAGCAATGGAGCCACCTCAGCAACTCACCATTCCCTTGGGACCCCCAAGCCTGATGACAGAGCCAGGTTTTGAGGGACTTAGGAAAAATTAACAGGGATGGAGCCAACCTCACTTTGCTTTGGGAAGTTGCTTTGGGAGAGAGAATATCATTCTCCACAGACCTATTGCAATGAATTACGTTTTTGAATAGCGTTTGAAGTTACTTGATTTAATTTTTCTTTAGACTGACATTGCCTCAGAGCCACAGGCAGCCTACTTTTCTAAAGAGGATGACCACCTAAAGAGGATTTATGATTGTCAGCAACGTCTGCTAATGCAAAACAGGTGGGTTTTTTGGGGTGGGGGGGTCAGAATATAAATTCTGGGACTGCCTATTGGCATTTTCTTTGACATTTAGAATGTTGTTCTGTTCTGATCAAATAATACGCATATTACTTTAGGATGCATCAAGAATCAGTCGATGAAGCCAGAAGACACTTAGAAGACTATCAGAATAAACTCAAACAGAGATTCCAGTCAGTTTCCATAGCATTGTTAAATCCTGTAAACAGACTTGCACACCTAAATTCTCTTCCTGAACCATTATCACAAGCACAGGAGTTTGATCAATCACAGAGAATTAAACTAACAGCTTACAAGCCATCCGAGAATGCTTCTGTTCAAGAGCTGGGGCCATCAGGGCAGGAAAACAAAGAGCAGGGGCTTGAGGTTGCCAGTGACAAGCAAGCCCAGCCCAGTGTTGACTCTGAAAGGCAAGTGCAGGTCAATCAAGGAGGTTTTCATTTGGCACAAGGATCCTTTTCACATCAAGAGAAGGAAAAACTGGATGCAGTAGGAACACCTGTGGTGCAGTCATTGGAATTTCACAGGATTCCTGAATCACTATTGCCAAAACCTGAGGATACCTCTGCTACAACCCAGCCTGTTGCTCGCATTCAAAATGTCCAGTTCACTTTCCCTGCAGGTGATTCTCCAGAGCGTTCAGAAACCCTCTTGTCTGAAACATCCACGCCTGACAAACCTCTAGCTGAAAAGATTCTTCTGCCAACGTTCCTAAAGCACCAAGATACTCCTAAAGAGAGTAGAATAAACATAGCTTCTAACCAGAACCACCATCTTCCATTGCATTCGATTTCTTCCTCACCATATCCTATAATGGGTAAGACTGAGGGTATCCAGGAATCCTCAGCATTGAAAATAGGAAGTGGAGTTTTGTCCAATTGTTCTGATATAGTGGAATTAAAAGATAGACTGCTGGCTTCCTCTGAGAGCATTGAAGCTCAGCAGGAGCACTTGAAAGACCTGCAGGAGCAACTAGATGAGCAACGGAAAACCCTTCTGTTTCGCCAGAAGATACAAGAAGATTTACTCCTGCAGAAGCATGCCCAGCTGAAACAACAAATGGAGCAACAGCAAGAAGCTTTGAAAGAGATTATTAAACGGGTATGCTTTTCAGGACAAGACAAAGAAACATTCAGGCTCTAGTCAGGGTAATTCTGAAAGAGAAGCTCTACTTTTAGTTGCCTTTCCATTGTTAGTTGGCATCTAAAACTTTCATTTGCTTCTAATAGGTCCTCAGTATTTGCTCAGTTGAAAAGCTAATATGCAGCGCAAACTTCCTGCTACCATTTCAGTTAGCCATTTAGTGCTATAAAGTTTCTGGATATTTTGAAAGGGGGAAATTTCATTTTCTCTGGTTTTCCAGTCAAAGATAACTTTTTGGAAGCAGTTATCCATTGCATTTTTGAAAAACTTGATTACCTCTAGTGCATTTTCTCTCTGCTACTGTCAGAAAAGACAGATCACAGTTGAGTGGCACAATCACAGCAGAGGGAGTTTTATCTGGTGCATAGCTTGCAGTCCTAGAATCACTTACTTCTGAGTGAATTACATTAAGTACAGCAATTATCCTTTAATTCAAGAGTCAGTTACTCTTTCAGCCACTGGGCATTGTGTTGCATATAGGACACTAACATTTTCAAAAAATTCAGAAACTGACAACATTTCAAAAGATCCTATGCAGGATCACATATTTTACAAGATTTGGTTCCCATGAGATTTGGGGCATTTTTAAATTCATTTTTTGTTTTAAAATGTTTTGAAGGTCTTGGAGATAGCTACATATACTGGTGTTATGGTTATCCTGTTATCCTGTCTAAAGCTTTGAACATAAAAACTAGAGGTGTTCCTCTAATAAAGTCCACCATCCTCTTTGTCCCAATTAATTCTAGAAGGTTGGGAGACTTAGGAAAACAAACCTGGGGTTTGCAACGCAGCACAGAATGAAGAAAAGTCATCTTGTATGAACAGACATTACTCTCAGTACATTGTGCATTTACATAAGAAAAGAAGTTACTTTCTTCTTTACAGGCAGCACAGTCAAGGTCATGCAGGGAGATGACAGAGGAAAATTCTGGCAGCTTCAGCCTGCTGAGCGTGCTTCCTAATGAAGCAAAAGATGACAACCCAAACCAGGTTCATTCTAGTGACATGAACAACCGTGCGGAAAATAATTTTTTGTTTCAAAAAGTTAACTCAATGGAACAAACAGGTAAGAGCTTTTTTAATGTTGTGATGGATGTTGGATTGCTTTCTTTGTCTTACCAGTCTCTTCTAAAAGTCTTTGGTTGAGGCTTTGTAGCAGAAGGTCATGACATGATGGTATTCGGGGTTTACCCTGTGTCTCAGAGAGTTCCAGAGAATCATAACTAATTCTCATTGAAATGGGCAAGTATGAATTTGTGTTTCTAGGTCAGTAACCCTGCCCTATCCTACCACTTTACATTGTGGTTTGCTTTTGAAACTGAAGGGACTTTCACAAAAGTCACTTTCACTGGACATGTCTCAAATCCGTTTGGATTCAGGTCAGGCCATTGTCACATCAGTCTTTATAGTCAGTACAGTACATCAATATCATTATCCTTATATTGCAGTGAGAACACTTCACTTAAAAAATAGATTTAACTGGGAAAGTCTCAGTCCAGAGTCCAAGTGTCTGTATCACTTAACCATACCACTTCTGGGTGGTCTGAACATATCTTTACTTTGCAGGGCCGTTTCAGAGCATGTGGACTAGAGAAGAGAAACAGAGACTTTCAAAACCACCTTTGGTCAAAGTAAAGCCAGGGCTTGATTTGGAGCAGCATGAACTTAGTGCTATACTAGAACTTGACACACCAAAGAGTGATGTATATTCCAGCACAGGTAAATTATAAAAGTGTAGGGCTAACCGAAAGTTTTGTGTATCTTTCTGCATTGAAGCACTTCCTCCGTTTCTTATTCCGAGGATACTGTTAGTCCCAAATATTCCGTTGCTCCTAGTAGTACTAGAAGCACTAACTGCAGAAGCATATTTCTGAGACAGCGATGGGCAGCCTGGAGGAAATCACCATTATCTCTTCCCTTTAATCCCACCCTTCTTTCCTGTCCTTTAGCCTGCCTCATGTTATATTTAGCTCATTTTGGAATATTTTGATAGTGTTTTTATCAGACTGGTATTGTTTTATACAGTTACTCTGCTTTAGTGCTAGTTTGGAGACTGTTTATAGACAAGCTTTGTGTATGTACGTGTGAAAATGTCCTTTTAGAGTAGGCAAAAAAGCGGTTTTGCCTTCCTGTCATGTATGTTTTGTAGCACCTTGATTTGACTCATGCTGCTTCTTATTAGTCATATTGATTGTCAAGAACTTACATTTCCCGGTTATCACTTCTATAAAATATTACAGGGGAGCAGCTGCAAAATCTAGCCTTGTTTGTTTGTTTTAAAAGGTTTATCTGGCCACCCATCTTGTGAGACACAACTCTGGGTGGCTAACAACAGTAATAAAAAACAACAATAAAACGATACAACAAACAAGAGAAACCAGGCGCCCAGTCCAGCTACATCCATCCAGCTACCCAGTCCCCAGGCTCCAACCTTGCTATCCAGCGTCTGGGGGAAAAGCCAGCTCTTCATGGCTTTCCAGAAGATTAAAAGGGTGGGGGCTTGCCAGATCTCAAGGGGAAGGGTGTTCCATAGGGCAGGGGCTGCTATGGAAAAGTACTAGAAGCACTTTAACTGTAGAAGCATATTTCTGAGACAGCGATGGACAGCCTGGAAGAAACGATATATGAACTCTAAAGTATAATGTAGGGCTCTTTGTCCCATTCACAGTCTTACAAAGTCTGTGTTACTGAGAACATGTGCAGTCCCCTACCCTACCAGCTTTCTGGAAAGGATTAAAGACCTGGCTCTGCCAGCTTGCATGGGGCGACAAGAATCTTACCCAATCCTGGGCGTGGCTGGCGCCTTGATGATGCTCCCCAAGTGACTGCCAATTTTAACATTTATTTTTGGATTTATTTATTCTTATTTATTTAGGATTTTTGAATATTGTAATTTTAATTGATTTTAACCTCTTTGTAAATTGCCCAGGGTCATTTTAATGAGATGGGCGGTGACAAATCTGATATATATAAAAAATAAAAGTATGCTCCCTAGGTCCCACTAGCTGGCAGCGTTTGAGGGAAGGGATCTGGAGCATGCCCACTCTGTGCAACCTGGTGGGATGGTTGAGCAGCAGACAAATACAGCTGTTTTCTAAAATAACCTTTCCTTGTTGCTACTGAAATTTCAGGATACAAACAGCATCTTACTGGAGATATATTCCTCACTCCCAAAGCTGATAAACTACAGTCCAGTAAAAGCCCAACTGAGTCTTTAGAGGAAGAAATAGATCTACTAAGAATTATTTCTATAGCTGATGATAAAGAACTAGATTCTGGTGAAAGCCTGAAGCATATGCATGGATTGTGCTATGATAAGTTGATGGGGAAAGCTAATGGTTTGTATGACTCAGGTGAGAAGAGTTAACTTGAGAGAATGATTGCTTTTGAGTAGGAGTGGGGTGAAGTTAAATTTCTTACCAAGTCAATAATGACAGTCAAAATAAGCTCTCTGAAATATCCACGTGTATATTTCACATTTAAGAAATATTCTGTACTATAGTCATTGCCATGGAATGCTAACAAGTATGCTTTTGGAAAATGATTAAACTCCAAGGCCTGGTTAAACAGTATTCCTTAATATCTCCTCTCTTCATTGGCTTGTAAGGACTTGGTACAGTCAAGAGCAAAATCTTGGTAAAAAGGAATATAGAAGTATCGGGGTGAATTATTTAAAAGATTTCACCAAAGACAGTAATTTTTTCTATAAAATAAAATTATTAGTACCGTAATAATTATATAAGTAGATAAAACATATTTAGTTCCAGTCTTTTTAGGTAAAAATTGTTTTGTTTCTATCTTAATGTAAGTCAAATTAAAATTCTTGAAAAGTGCCTGTATTCTGAAGAATATTCTGCATTTCTAAAGCTTATTTAGATTATGGCCTATGCAAATATTGGAACAGAACACTTGGAGCTCTGTGGAAGTTCTCTGCTAGTGTTGTGCTGCTGTACTAGATGTGCTGTTCTGTTCCAATTATTGTCATCCACCACTTGTGGAATTATGTCTTCTGTGGCCACGTATAGCTAAACTTGAGCGCATCGTGGCTTGCCAACTGCTTCACGTTGCTTCCTTTTCTTTGTATTCAGTCCACTCCAAAGAACTTACTTCTGTAGATCAAAGTTTATCAAATAATCCTGCTGATAATGGAAGAATAGTTGCGTGTCCTGATCCATCATTGAGGCCAAATAGCCAAGTAGGTCACAATTAGTGTTCAGTATGTTACATAATTGTACCGTTTATTTGAAACAATCTCGTTCTCTTTTAATCTTTGCATTTTAAATACTGTACATTAGTACATTATTTACATTAGAAGAAAAACCCAAATCAAATCAATTTTTGGTGTGACCACCCTTTGCCTTCAAAGCAGCATCAATTTTTACACTTGCACACTTTGTACACTTGCACAAAGTCAGGGATCTTGTAGG